CCCCAAAACCCCAAAACCCCAAAACCCCAAAACCCCAAAACCCCGATTTAAAATAAATTTGTTGAAATAATAGAATTATGCCTATAAATAGATATACATCTTTTCTCTTTCATTTTCTTTACAATCATTGTGGTGAATTTTATTTGCTATACTTATAATAGCTTGGATTTCTTGATATTTCAACTTCGTACTCGTCCTTGTCTGGATAAATATTAAGGATTCAGCTCTTAGGATTGGTGATGCATCTTGTCAGTTGTTTGCTGATCCTGAAATCGTAGCCATACCATGAGGAAATATACATCCAAGCAGCAATGGGAATAGCTATGTAGTCATGGTTTTCTTGCAGCCCAAGTTTTAGGTTATGGTTGTAGAAGGAAGAATTACGCATATCGAGGAGTTCAGCATTTCGGATTATCCCAGGGTCTTTGTAAGTGTACTCCAAGGCATTATGAGAGTTTAGAGCACCTCTTTTGGATAGGGACTTTGTGTTGAGGACTATATTAGGGGTTAAAACTGATAGAGAGTATAGTGAAAGTTTTTTAATTTTTATCATTTATGAAATTACCTGAAATAAGAGGCTGGTCGGTACTGGATGAGAAGGTAGTCTCAAAATTAACATAATCACACCAGTCTCTCCACCATTTTGCATTAACAAGGGTTTTCTCATCCCCTTGTTTTCCAGTAGAAGCTCTGATGGCTGCTGAATAAGTAATTTCTTCATTCCTATTAGCATGGCAGAGAACTTTTCTAATGATATTTGCCTGAATTTCAGGTGAAGTATGCTGGCAATACAGCCCACATAACTTCGGCGACTGGTTGGATTTATCAAATGTTTGTGTTTTCTCAGATAAAAATGAACTAGACTCAGAATTTTCTTGATCATCTGCTTGGCTTAATCTAGTCTTTTTAGTAGAGGAAGACAAATCAAGAAGACGGCATACGCAATATTTTCGATTTTTATTTAGAAGAATTCTACGATCTGATTGATACTTTTTACTTTCTGAGGATTTTCTTTCCCATAAGGATTGAGACCTTGGTTTTTCAATGCTGATCCCTGTGTTCATTGAGATCTTGCATTTCTTCTTTTTCGTGACTGAGGACGAGCCTGTTTTTAGGTTGGAGAAGAAGGTAGGCATTGATATGGCCTTCTCTAGTCTTTCTTTCTCATCTATTCCTGCATATCCCTTCTTGGTTGGTTCTTTCTGTTGGATTTTAATGGAAACTTTCTGATAATTTTTGCCACTTGAGCTTCTTTTCATCTCAAGATTTTTCATGGCAAGTCTTCTTGACACTGTATTTACACAGAAGCCTGGTGTTGGGACTTTGAAGGATGAATACGACTGGGAGGTTTGTAGCTTAGGCTTAAAATCTCTGTCTTGAAGCTCTCTAAAAATTTTACTGTCAATTGTTGTCTCTTGTCTCTCAGTCTCTATTCCTCTATCTAAAGATTAGTATCTATATTACTTTGGAAATTTTCTTCGATGTATTTTGGTTCTTCTATTTGAAGTACTTTGTCAATCTGCTTCTTAAGAACTTCTTTATTTACCTTCTTGGTTTTGGTTGAGATAGTTGCTGAATCCCTTTCTCCTATGAAATTGTGTTTGATAGTTTACTTTTTCTTTTTGAAAGATGGACGAAGACCTTCCGAGCCGTAAAAGGAAATTCCTAAGCAGTTCCTGGACTAAAGTTTATGTCGGAAACTTACCTGATCCGATGCTTTCTTTGAGGGGATGTATTTTGATTGATAATTAACAGCTATTTAGTTGTATATGACTTGAGCTTACTTGAATTGGGTCCTTCTTTATGACCAGAACTAGTATTTGAGATTATTTGTCAAGAATTGTCAATAGCATCCCTCGGATTCTTTAATTCACCCATCCTTGGCTTAGGCTGACTACCAAAATTACATAATTATATACCTTCTTCTCGGAGATTTCGAATGACTTTCCAATTGAAGTGTCCTCAACTGACTCGAGATTGAATTCTATAAACCCTCATCTCCCATCCACCCTAACACCCCCTAACCTCACCCCCACTTACAATCCGTGCACTAATCTTCAAATTCACACTATTAATTTTATCATCGAGAGCTTTGAACATAGAAGGGAGGCTGACCTGGCCCTAGAGAGTAAAGGTATTAGATTACTTTGGAAAATTGAGTTAGAAGATTGGTGAGGTTGAGATGGATGAGGGGTTGGAGGGCGTTGGTGGTGTGGAGGGGTTTTAGTGGTTTTTTGAGTATTCCTGAATGGGTTTTGGGTGGGGCTTGAGGGATTTCGGAGAGGTTATGTGCACGTTTGGGGAGATAGTGAGTGCTTTTGGTGGTGAGAGGATTGAAGTTTGTATGAATTTCCATTTTTTAAATTCAATTTTTTGAGAAAATCGGGGTTTTGGGGTTTTGGGGTTTTGGGGTTTTGGGG